TCACCTCAGCCTCCCAAAGGCATGGGATTACAGGCTGAGCCACCGAGCCCGGCTAAAAATACTGTTAAGTGACCATGTCCTCACTCTTTCCTCCCAGTCACTGTGGGCAAGAAAGACGACAGGCTGCCCCTGCTCACCGAAAATTCGATGAAGGCAAGGCCCTCTCCTCATGGAACTCCCAACTAGATAGAATAGGCAGGACCCAGACAGCAGGGACACAAACACAAGTATACAAAATCAGGACCACCAAGCTGTGAAGAGTATCAGCTTTGGGTTGGATTAAACTATGAAGGTTAGCTGGGCACTGTGGCTCATGCCTGTAATTCTAGCACTTTGGGAGGCGGAGGTGAGAGGATCGCCTGAGGCCAGGGCTTCTAGACCAGCCTGGGTAACTTAGTGAGACTTCATCTCTACAGTAAAATAAAAAAATCAGCTGGGCATGGTGGCTGAGGCAGAAGGATCACCTGAGCCCAGCAGGTCGAGGCTGCAGTGGTCATGAGCACGCCACTGCACTCCAGCCTGGGTAACAGAGTGAGATTACGACTCAAAATGAAAAAAGTAAAATAAAATAAATAAGCTATGAAGGTTTCCTGGAGGCAAGACTCTTGAGCTCACTTGGTTACCGCTGCCCCTTGTCCCTAATGACCCCTCTCTGCTCACCAGGAATTTCCGCCTCTGCTTCCAATGGCTGCCTTGGGCATTGGTACTGCGATGAGCCTCTGTGGCGATGTGGATGAGATCCCACTCTTCGGGAGTGGGCTCTGGTCGCTGCTGCAGTGATCGGATCATCTCCTCCTTCCGCCGCCGCTCGCGGTTCTGCTCGATCAGCTTGCGCTTGGCCACTCGCTTCGAGTCATCTAGAACCACTGTCAACAGAGAGGCGTGCAGTCCTTCGCATGGCAGCATCATTCCCTCTCCCCTCTCAGAAGCGACTCTTCCTAGTGTCAAGGTTGGGAAATTGAGGGCCACAGAGGTTAAGCAGCTTCCCAAATCACCCGGCAGTTGGGTGGCACAGCCTGGATCATGATTAATCCCTGGGACCATGTCAGTAACAATTTGGGCTGATCCAGATGACTATCATGTTCTGGTCTAACGGGTTATGGTGATAGCAGTTACCTGAAGATCCTGCCATCCAAAACCTAGCCAATGAGAGATGCTCTCATCCACAAGCAGGTGTTCTCCCCGCGAGTCAGAACAGCGCGTGAGGGCAAGTGCCCAGGAGTTCTTTTACCTAGCAACTCCCTCTCTAAGTGGTGAAAGGCAGGTGGGCACGAGGGTCCACGAGCAGCATCCAGAGAGGAATCCTGTTTCATTTTTCCAGGGAGGAAGGCAGCAGGAACCAAGACACTGAACATTCCACCATCAGCCTCACCTGGATTGGATTGCCACTCTGCCTCGAGTCTACCTTGGAAGGGAGCTACCATCCCTGAACTCACCCCTGCCCCGGGGGAACCTGGCCCCATTCCCCCCACCCTGGACCCCTTACAGTCCATGGCCATGCCCACGGCGATGCACTTCTTGAAGCGGCACAGCTGGCACTGATTGCGGGTGATCTTATCAATGACACAGCAGCTGTCATATTTGCAGGAATAGGTGGGATGAAGGTTCTTCTGGATTGTGCGGCGAAAGAAGCCCTGGGGTGGTGGGAGATAGAGAAGTGGAGAAGACCGTGATTATGACATCTCCTTTCTGAACCAACCATGCAGTTCATGGGTGGAAGGGGGCGGGTAGGCAAGATCAGTAGATCAGTGAGGAAATCCAGCATCCTCCTGACCCTGCAAGCCCGGGATCACTGGGCTTCGCCAGGCCAAGGCACCTGGGAAATGCATGCCCTCCGACCTCAGGCTGCTAGGGGTGGGGATGCCTCAGTAGTAGTGATGGCAGAGGTAGAAATGATGACTGCAGTGAACAGCTTTGAGCCTGGGACGGTGTGAGGTCTGAAGGAATCGCTGCTTTGGAAATCCAAGTAATATCTTGCTAATCACTAAAAATAACTCTGACCACCAAACCATTCTCATATATGTTGCCTATTGCCCATGCAGGTGGAACTCCTGAAATACAGGGACCAAAAAAGTCAAGAAAGAGCACTGGGGGCCGGGCACAGTGGTTCAAGCCTGTAACACCAGCACTTTGGGAGGCTGAGGCAGGAAAATCACTTGAACCCAGGAGTTTGAGACCAGCCTAGGCTACACAGTGAGACCTTGTCTCTATAAAAAAATTTTAATAGCCGGGCATAGTGGTGCGCGCCTGTAGTTCCAGCTACTTGAAAGGCTGAGGCAGAAGGATCGCCGGAGCCCAGCAGGTCGAGGGCACGGTGGCCAGGAGCGGCCACTCCACTCCAGTCTGGTGACAGAGTGAGACTCCAACTTAAAAAAAAAAAAAATTTTTTTTAAATTAGCTGGTGTGTTAGCATGCACCTGTAGTCCCAGTTACTCAGGAGGCTAAGGCAGGAGGATTGTCTGAGCCCAGGAAGTCAAGGCTGTGGTGAGCAGTGATTGTGTCACTGTACTCCAGCCTGGGTGACAGAGCAAGACACTGTCTCAAAAAATACAAAATAAATAAAAATGACTTTATTTATTTATTTATTTTTTGAGTTGGAGTCTCACTGTGTTGCCCAGGCTGGAGTGCAGTGGCACACTCCCGGCCACCGCACCCTCGACCTTTTGGGCTCTGGCGATCCTTCCGCCTCCGCCTTCCAAGTAGCTAGAACTACAGGCGTGCGCCACCACACCCAGTTAGTTTTTTGATTTACTGTAGAGACAAGGTTTCACCAAGTTGCCCAGGCTGGTCTCAAACCCTTGGACTCGGGCAATCCTCTCGCCTCGGCCTCCGAAAGTGCTGGGATTACAGGCTTGAGCCACCGTGCCTGGCAAAAACTACTTTAAAAAAAGCACTGAGTAGTCGGGCACGGTGGCTCATGCCTACAATCCCAGCACTTTGGGAGGCAGAAGCAAGAGGATTGCCTGAGCCCATGGGTTCAAGATCAGCCTGGGCGAGACCTTGTCTCTACAGTAAGTAAAAAAATTAGCCAGGCATGGTAGTGAGTGCCTATAGTCTGGCTACTTGGAAGGTTGAGGTGGAAGAATTGCCTGAGCCCAGCAGGTCGATGCTGAGGTGGCCATGAGCATGCCACTGCACTCCAGCCTGGGTGGCAGAGTAAAACTCCGACTCTCAAAAAAATTTTTAAAAATCACCTAGGGCACCGGGCTCGGTGACTCAGCCTGTAATCCTGTGCCTTTGAGAGGCTGAGGTGAGTGGATTGCCTGAGCACATGGGTTCGAGACCCGCCTGGGCAACGAGACCTCATCTCTACAATAAATCAAAAAATCAGCCGGGCGTGGTAGCGCATGCCTATAATTCCGGCTACTTGGAAGGCTGAGGCAGAAGGATTGCCGGAGCCCAGCAGGTCGAGGCTGCGGTGGCCGGGAATGGCCACTGCACTCCAGTCTGGTCGACAGAGTGAGACTCCAACTCAAAAAAGAAGAAGAAAAAAAAAACACCTAGGGCACTTATCAAAGACACAGATTTCTGAGTCTTTCTCCACAACCACAAAATCAAACTCTCTTGGGGTGGGACCAAGTCTCGTTGTCTTTTTAGGGAGCTTCCCTGGGACTCAGCTGTCCTCGGGGGTCGAGATCCTTGCTCTATGCTACGCTGCTAGTACTGTTTCCAGGAACAGTGCTACAGAACACTAAATCCCTTGTGGCCTTGGTTTAGTTGGTACTAAGCAAGAGAGAAACTTCAAGTCTTAACCTATTTATATATGATTCTGTTTCTGGGATGGTCTCGCATTTTCAGGCGGTGATTCTGGAAAAGCCATGCAGGTTGAGATGACCACAGTGAATTCTAATTAGGCCTCTACAAATCTATGACCTTGTCTCCTCTACCCAGGAAGAAGCTGCCATCCTCTTCTCCTCTGTGCTCCCACCATGTCCCCCAGCCCTGGTCCTTACCCTTTCAGGTACATTGGAAATACCTATTAAAGGCAGATTCCCAGCTGGGCACGGTGGCTCACATCTGTAATCTCAGCACTTTGGGAGACTGAGGCGAGAGGATTGCCTGAGCCCATGGGTTCAAGACCAGCCTGGGCAACTTGGCGAAACCTTATCTCTACAATAAATCAAAAAATTAGCTGGGCGTGGTGGCACACGCCTGTAGTTTCAGCTACTTGGAAGGCTGAAGTGGAAGGACTGCCTGAATGCAGCAGTCCGAGGCTGCAGTGACTGTGAGTGTGCCACTGTACTCCAGTCTGGGTGACAAGCGAGACTCCGATTCAAAAAAAAAAAGGCAGATTCCCAGGCTTCACCAAAAGAAGGTTCTGAGTGAGCAGGGGTGGGGTGAAGCTCGGAAACCTACATTTTAGCTAGTACAGCAGGGGGCCCGTGAACCACATTTGAAAAACACTGATGAGGCCAGCTAGGTGGCTCAGCCTGTAATCCTGCGCTTTGGGAGGCCGAGGTGAGTGAATTGCCTGAGCCTGCGGGTTCAAGACCCGCCTAGGCAACTTGGCGAAACCTCATCTCTACAATAAATCAAAAAATCAGCCGGGCGTGGTAGCGCATGCCTGTAATTCCGGCTACTTGGAAGGCTGAGGCGGAAGGATCGCCGGAGCCCAGCAGGGGGGGGCTGCGGTGGCCGGGAGCGGCCACTGCACTCCAGTCTGGGTGACAGAGTGAGACTCCAACTCAAAAAAAAAAAAAAAAAGAAAAACACTGATGCGTGTTTCAATCTGTCTCCCTTTGACAGGCTGTGAGCAGTTTGGGGGCTGGGCATGTACTGCACCCTCACACCTAATACACTAGATGGATGGGTGATGCCTGGCATTCCTCCAATGCTTCTTATGCGCCAGGCACTGTTTTAGACACTCCATGCAAATTATCTCATTTAATTATCCCAACAACTCTAGGAGGAAGGTAGGAGGGTTATCCCCATTTTATTGATGTAGAAACTGAGGATCAGAGAGGTTAGGCAATTTTCCTGTGTGTGGCAGAGCAGGGATTATGAGTGAGCGAGTGAATGAATGATTAAGAGAAGAGAAATGACGATGTAACAGACGGGTTTTAGAGTATATGTTTCTAGAGCTTGTCTGTCGGGCCAGGTGCTGAGGGACTTAAAGTTAGGGAACAGAACAGGGGCTCGGGGGTGGGAGAGGGGCAAGAGGTGGCTTCCATACCTTGCAGCCCTCACAAGTGATACAGCGATAGTGATAACCAGTTGCCTTGTCCCCACACACGACACACTGCTCGTCTTTGTCCAGGTAACTAGGGATATACCCTGGGAGGAAGGAAAGAATGGAGGCAGGCAGGCATGGCTTGGTGCCCAACAAGGAGGCTCCTACCCTTTCCCCATTCCCCAACCTTTTGTTTCTGGCCCATTTCCTAGCCCAGCCTCCCCGCAGTGTCTTTATCTCCAGTGAAATCCTGGAGACACACTGGAGGTCAACTTGTCCATCCCCTTCCCCTAAGAATATGGAGGATCTGCCGGGCGCGGTGGCTTATGCCTGTAATCCCAGCACTTTGAGAGGCGGTGGTGAGAGGACTGCCTGAGTCCAGGGGTTCAAGACCAGCCTGGGCAACATGGCGAGACCTCATCTCTATAATAGACTGAAAAAAAAATTATCTGGGTGTGGTGACGCTCCCTGTGGTTCTAGTTACTTGGAAGGCTGAAGTGGAAGGATCGCCTGAGCCCAGGTCGAGGTCGTGGTGGCTGGGAGCGTGTCACTGCTCTTCAGCCTGGCCAACAGAGTGAGACTCCAACTCAATAAAAAAAAGAATACGGGGGATCTCATTTCTTCTGCCTGTCCAATCAGGGCTTTTTTCTGGCTACATCTTTTTTTTTTTCCTTTTTGACCTGTTGGGCTCAGGCAATCCTTCTGCCTCAGCCTTCCAAGTAGCTGGAACTACAAGCATGCACCACCATGCCCGGCTTGTTTTTTTTTTTTTTTTAAATTACTACAGAGATGAAGTCTTGCCAAGTTGCCCAGGCTGGTCTCGAACCCCTGGGTTCAGGCAATCCTCTGGCCTCAGCCTCCCAAAGTGCTGGGATCACAGGCGTGAGCCACTGTACCTGGCTTCTTGCTACATGTAAAGCACAAAGGATGGTGGAAAGGAAAAAAAAATGCAGTAGTTCATCTCCAGGGACACATCCTTCAGTCCTGCAGCCCAGGCCCTGACTCTCGTAGGGCCTTAGGTGAGGAGGGTATGGGAAAAGGGAAGAGGTCCTTCCTGACCTGACCTGTCCTCAAAGGCGAGGGGGCATCCCACACCTCCATCTCAACCCCAGACAGGTCCATCCCAGCCCTGTAGGAGGCTTCCCCACGGAACACAAGAACTGCTGGTCCATGTCCAGGCCCATAGAACGACTGGTCCAGGTGCGTGGGGCCATGGCTGGGAGAAGAGGCACATGCAGCCAGGCTCACCTGACATGCTGGTTTTCAGGGAACATTGGCCGTTCTTTCTTTTTCGCTTTCCATCTGGTGACCTGGCACTGCATGGGGCAAAGTGGGCAGAATCACAGATCAGTCTTTGGGCAGCCCCCTTCTCAGCCCAAAGGCTTCTACAATTCCCCAGGCCCGACCCCCTTCATCTCATGTCCTCATACCGCCTCCCACCCCAGGGGTCAGCTGACAATGTTGAGGAGGGTCCAACTATCTGGAAGTTGCCAGGGAGAGAGATAGGGGACGTGGCTGTGGCACAAGCATGTTCTAGAGCCCCAACACACACATGCACACACCCCCACTACAGTCCCAAAGCCCCCGCAGTCCACAGGACATCCACATATTTAAGCTTCCAGCACGTGATGAATATGCTAGAAGAATTCAGGATGTGCTTCAAGCTACATAATGCACGCATACAGATGCAACACCACACCAGCACATGCAAATAACCACACAGCCTTCAGTATCAACCCAAGTATGGTAAATAAGCACTGGGATCTACATTGTGTCATATGACCTCTAGGATACGTCCACGTATTACACAACCCTCTGGACAGGCACCTAGTAATACCAACACCTCCCTCCAGGGTGAACATGTTGCTTGATTTCCAGGTCACACACACATGCTAAATAACCTACAGCAATGAAAAAAACACTAGAATCACCCTGTTCACTTCCTCCATTTAACAGAGTGACAAACCGAGGCCCAATTGTGTCTGGTGACACAACGCGTCAGAGTCAGAGCCAGGACGAGGACCCTGAGCCCCGCTATGCACAGTATTATTAGCAATCCTCAGCACATCCATGTTGTCAGGCTCTCTACATACATGTTACATAACCTCTGCACATACAGGTTACATAAACCCTCTACACACATGTAAGGGTTGTATAACCTCCCACGTCCACCTTGCGTGTGACATGTTACAGGGCCCCTTGTCCTGGAGCTGGAGGCAGCTCCCAACACACTGACATAGTGACCTTGGCCAGGGTCATAGTCACAGACAGTCCTGTGCTCCACGCCCCCTGGAGATTACCCCACCTAGCTCCTGCAAGGCTGGAAGGTCAGGTGTCCCTCCCGCCTTCCGGAAGGGTGGCTGCGGGGGAACCCAGGCCACCTAGGGCCCCAGTTGAGCTGGCATCTTCGGCAATAACAAGACTCACAGCCTCTGGATGCAGTCCCAGGGAGAGCCACAAGATGGTGCAAAAACATGGGGGAGGGGAGGGTGATGGAGTAGGGACTGCAGTCAGGGGGACTGGGAACTGGCATTCCTGCCTTTTTCCAAGCCTCAGGGACAGACTCTCCCAGACTCACAGAGTGACAGGGGTGGGAGGACAAGGGCTGCAAGTGACAACCACACAGCAAGGGCCAAACTGTCCTTCTCAAAGTCCCTCCTGGGGTGAGGCTTTGAGGGAGGGGGGACTATCCCAGTGCCCTACTCATCCACTTCCTCCACCCTTCCAGGGACCCAGTCTTGGGCCTTAGGGCTTTGCCTGGCCAGGCCTCTGGCTTCCTGGCTCAGGATCCGATCTCCTAGGCAACAGCCAGCCACACTGCTCCCCAGAGCACCCCCACCCCCACCCTCTCCCTGGCCATAGGCACAGGCTGTACCCAGCTCCCAGGGCACCATGCCAACTGGGACAGAGCTCTGTGCCACTTGGAGCTGATGGGAAAAGCGGAGACCCTCTGGCTTCCACAAGGACAAAGCGGACCATAGGTAACCCATCCCCAGATGTATGCGCAGGGCTGACGCCTCACCCACGTGTAAGCAAAATCTTCATGGCTGGTATGCACTTCCACTTCCTGTGAGGAACCCCACGGCAGTGCCCGCCCTTGACCATGAACAAGGAAGAGCTTGTGGGGCTGCCAAAGATTCCAAATATAAGCATGGGCTGCGACCAATAGGTACTGGTGCATATGCCCTGAAATGTCATGTTTTCGTGAACCATGGCCTGTGGACAACACACTTGTGGTCAGATGGTAAACAGCTGGCTGGGAGAATAAGAAAATGACACACGGCTCATTGGATTCCACATGCTCAGGTGAGGGCTGCAATGGTAGAGACGCTGGGGACTGCCTAGCGCTGTCCAGGGATGAGCCACGAGCCTGTGGCCTCTATCACTCCCTGCTTCAAAACGGGCATCTCTCAAACCAAGTGCCTAAGTCCCTGCCACATCTGAACGTGACCTCATCTCCCAGACAAAGGCAGGCAGGTTTTCTGGCCTCACGTCCACCCCTCAGAGCTGCTTAAAGACAGTGCCTAAAAGACAGCTCAGCCAGGTGCCCATGCCTGCTGCTTGGGAGTTTGCATGACCTGGCTGCCAAACCCGTTACCTGTTCTCCTCTGGGTCTGACCCACACTCCACCTTGCTTGGCTTCTGTTCCATTCACTTCAATTCCATCCAGGACGCCCTCCAGCACGCCAAGAGACTGGGGTGGGCACACTGGCCCCCCCGGCACACCCACAGGCCACCCACCCCCCGCCACCCAGGCTCTAGGGCACAGCACCCATGGTACCCGTCTCAGCACTTGGCCTTTCACACCATGCCCTGTGCCCCAAGGGGGGCGGGCGGTGGGAGGGGCCAGGGAGTGGCAGGTGGGAGGGCTAGGGGCGGGCTGGGTCCCTGGATCCTGGGCTGCGGGCTGGGGGAGTAGCTTCGGAGTCTTCTCCTGTCCAGATATCCCTGCAGAGAAAAGAGAGAGGCAGAGGTAAGAAGCTGCCGCGGTGGGTGGAGTGGGTAAAATTCCTTTGGTGGCAACATTTAGAGCTCTTGGGGCCCCTAACAAGACAGCAGTGGGCCTAGAGGTTAGGCACAGGGTGAGGACCAGGATAATCCCTAAGATCACAGGTACAGCAGGCAAGATTGGAGATCCTCCTGCTAAGCCCAGATGGGGAGGGAAGGAGGGAAAGAATGAGATCATTCGTGTACTAGGTAACGCGTCTCAGTCCGCATAGTCAAACAAATGCCTGGCCCTTAATGAGTGTCTATTAAACATTAGCTATTGTTACCACCCCTCTAGTCAAGTTTTCCTAAAATTAATCCGTATCATGGGGCGAGAGGGGACAAGAGACGAGCAGTTTTCAGTGTGGGCATGGGAGTACCCATGAAGTAAGGAATACAGGGCGCACATGGGTCGGGAATCCTGAGTGCCTATCTTAGTGCCCAGGTGGAGAGAGTCGTTGAAAGCCGTGGGGAACTGACCTCCCTTGCTGCCGGCCAAGTTACGATCCCCAGATCCCCAACACGGGCCCCTCGGGCACCCCAGAGCTTCCCATACAAAGTCTCAAATCCCACTTCCCATTCTGAAGACCAGACTCCTCGGCTGGTTTAGCTGAGTTGCCATCTACCAGTACGGCAAGGGGAAGGGGAAAGGAAAATGAAAATGTGTTAACTGAACAGATACTATGTGCCTCCAAAGTAGGCATCAGAACTCTACAGATGAAGAAACTGATTCTCAGGAAGTCTGAGCCTTCACTCAAGTCACACAGGTAGTAAGCAGGTGGCTCTGGAACCAAAACCCCACAGCGTGGCTCTAATGCTAGGCTTGTTCTGCTACCCACTGGCCCCTCTGTCCTGCATCTCTGACCCTGAGCCGAAGACCTGTAGCTCACTGTGTGCACATACAGACAGGTGCAGGCAGGAGGGGGACAAAGGGTGCAGCTCCCCACATACAATCTCCATCACGTGGCTACTGCGCCAAAGACCTTGCCCCTGGGCCCCCTGGCCCTAGCCCCAGGAACTGATAAGGAGCAGGGGTGGGAGGAGAGGGGGAGATAAGTCAGGGGATTGGGCAGGGCAAGGCCACGGAAGGGCCTCTGCACCCCTAGTGTGGGGAGCATGGGTTGTTCTGCCTTTGATAACCCCTCCCAGACCAGGACTGGGCCCTGGGGTCTGGACAGGAGACTGGGGGTGGGGGCGCGAGTGGGGAGCCTTAGCCCAGGGAGCCGTCAAGAAAGTAGGTCAAGTTTTTCTTGGCTTGTGGAGAAATTCCTGTTATAAATTTATAATGGCGTAGCCAGCCCTAAGGGGAGGAGGTGGGGGGAGGAGAAGGAGTGGGTGGGGATGCCCAGGGGCTGGGCACTGGGGCCTGCTACTCTCAGCCAGAACAGTGAGGGGCAGGGGGC